CCCCCAAAGCCGGCCCGCTAAAGCCGCTCTGGGTCGGGCTCTTCGCTGCCCCGTGGCCCGGGGTGAGCTGCCAGCCGCGGGTGCTGCGGGGGCTCCCAGTGCCACGCACAGGACCGCAGCCAGGGCTGCCGGCCCGGGCGAGCTGCCTGTCAGCCAAGCATGTGGGAGAGTTAGTAAACAAAAGCGTCCGCCTGCACTACCCCGACAGCGCAGCCAGCAGAGGAGGAGCTCTGCTGTCTTTGTTTGAACTGGAAGAGCAACAAGTTGTAAAGGGGGGGAGAGCCGTTCAGCCATTTAATTTTGAAAACAAAACAGAAAAAAAACCCAACCCGAAAACTTAACCCGAGGACGGAATAGTTCAGCCAGTGGTTCTCCACAGCCTGACCCTGGGACAGGCCTTGGCATTTGGATCTGTTAAGGGATTCTTTCTTGTTTGTCAGGAAAACTGAGTGCTGAGCCACATGTTAGTGTCCAAGGCACTGTTCCCCATGGAGTGTTTTGTTGTCATGCCCAATCCCTTCCCTCCCAGCCCCGCATGGAGGATTTCCTTTGGCTTTTGGCACGGATCTCCTATGCAGAAGCCCCTCTGTCCTGTGCAATGATTCCTCCCAGCCTGTTGCTGAAGAAGCAAACAGTCTGCCCCTGGAGACACGTGAACTGGTTCACAATGTGTTGTGGTTTGGAAGGGGCAGTCTCTGAGACATGGAAAACTGGGCTGTCGTTTATCTTGCTGTGAAACTAATCCCTGATTTGGATGTCCCATTCCAGCTTGTCTCAAACATTTGGTCAAAACCAACTTTCCAGAGTGGTGTCTTGAATCAGATTTAGAATACCACAAAGTTAGTCACACCAGTGTGGTCTTGTGAAGTCCTGAGAGAGAGCAAGCCTGGTTTTCAACAAGCTGCACCTCTTTTCAGAGCCTACAAAACATCTTATCTGTGAACATGTGAAAAGAAAACGTACGTGCCCTTTCAGTGGGAGTTAGGAAAGGCTTTCAGCTAGCTCAAGAGTTGCCCTCTCACGGCTCTTGAGTTCTGCGAGACTCTCCAGCAGTTCAAGTATGGCTCCCATCCTGCTGCCGCAGCAGCAAGGCTGTGTTGACACAAAGGCCGCTAGTTAAAGTACATCTCTGGCTGAGAGAAGAACTGAGCAGGCAATAACTGCTGAGGCTGACGTCACTGAGTTGTCATTGGACTCAGCCGCACGCACGGTCTAACCCCATCCCACACTGGGAACCCTGGAGAGTCACTGTTATCTCTTCCCTGGGCTCCCGGAGCTATGTGGTATTTATTCTGTGGTTCTTGGCTATACAAAAGATTTTTGGGTATGCATCTCGTAAGAATAAGAAAGTTGGCCGCACCTATGCTTGCTTTTGGCATGTACACCATTTTCAGGGTTTCATTTCCTATTAATATATTAAACAGAATACAGTAGTTTAAAACCTGGCTTTTTCATCCTTAGAACAGTGCTAGAGCAATAACGCAACATTCCCTAGCACTCTGCGGCTTTCATCTCCTTAAGATGCCGAATTTATTATAGGAAGGACTTGAGCAATGCTCTGCGTTCCTAAGTAGCAGAGCCTGCTACAGGTTGATCCAGTTTGCAAAGGGCTCTGCAGAATGACATGCGAGACCCATCTATGTTTTCTCGAGCTCTTTAGTACCTCTTGCCTTCTGAAGCTGTGTAGCTTCTGGCAATGTTCCCTCTGTTGTGCTTTTCTCACCCTGCCCCTGGAAACCAAAGGTAGAGCCAAGCCAAGCTTTCTGCAGGAGAACCCAGTACCTGCCACCTCCTTCTCGGTTTGGAGCAAGTGTGCCTTTGCCTTGGGATCTGTGAACTGTTTGCTGTAGCCCAGCCTGTGGCTGAGCTTAAAGAGTGCACTCTGAGGTTACGGAGAACAGAGCTGAGCTTAGGGGATCTGCTGGTCGGTTGGCTGGGATGCGCTGCCTGCGCCCCACGTGTCCAGGCCGTGGCAACAAGTGCTTGGGCTCTGCTTTAGGTCCTGAGTGCACTTGAGCTCCCTCGCCTTGAGAAGGGGCTTCAGCCTGTGCTGAAAAAAACACAACATGATGCGCTGCTAGATGGGATGGGAGTAGGCAACCAGGGACGGCGATGGCAGCAGCGTAAAGCCGCCCCATACGAGCACGGGGTTATACAAGAGTGGGGTGGATGACACTGTATGTCAGTATTACACCCCTTCGGTTTGACTTGCTCCATTGAGACACTGGAATGCTGCGGCTTTTTCCAAATAAAATAAGTCTTTCTAAGCAGGCTGCAGCTTTGAGGGGACTGCTTTTATCGCATCTCTTCTTCATGGTGATAAGATCACTTCACAGGGGATAAAATTGTCTCTTTAAGAGCCAAGGAGTGGTAGCCTTGAACAGTTCTGGGCTTGGGTCCAAGCAGAGCCACTGACTTGCTGTATGACCTCAGACAAGTCTCTTGACCTCCTTGTGCTTCAGTCAACCCATCTGGAAAGCTTGGTTTAAAAAAAGCTGAGCCTCAATGAGAACCAGATGCTGAATCAGAGCTGAGCTTTCTTGAGTAAATAAGTGCATTACAAACAACAACAAAGCCCCTTTCCAACACATCAGGAATCCTGCAGTTGATTTAGATATGCTGACCATGCTCAAAAAGCCTCCGTGGATCTAGCTATAGAAAACTTTGTTTCTCTAAATTCCCCAATTGGTTCAGCAAGTAATTCTCTCACCGTCACTGCAATGGGCTCGAGCAGCCTGTGGAGCCCGAATGCCTGCATCCACACCGGCTGTGGACAGACAGCTAGGCACGTACCTGTTTGCTTCAAGTTAATGACACTGAAAATGTCCAGGAGGAAATGTTGTTTTCCTTTGAAAGTGAAACTTGTTACGTTTTGCATATTTTTTCCCCTCTGTCTCCCATGAGAGTTATTGAGGCCTCCTCTGAGACGCTTCTGCTTATGCAACAGGGAGCCCATGTCTCTTGTTGGAAACTTACCGGCATGAAAAAGTGGGCGCACAGTGCTACGTGTGCATCATTTATCCCAAATTCCATCAGGCTTTTCTCCATTATTTGTTGAAGACACTCAGGGAATTTTTTAACAGTTGCTTTTTTAAATTGTAATTGTTTGCAGGAAACTGTCCTTCATGATGACTTTACATTTTAGGAAAAATGTTCAGAAAAGCCTCCTAATAATGCAATGCAGAGACTCTCAAACTGTCCAGCAGCTGAGCCTGTAGCACCAGCAACTCCATACTTTACTTGTACCTGCAGTCTCTTTGAGACTTGGGGTGAGTGCTTTCATTCATTTGTTTCCTGAGTCGGTACGTTTCAGGATCTTCTCTGCTGGCTGGTGCTTGCTGGTCCCTGCTGCTGCTGTGCAAAGCAGTGGATCTCCTCTTCAGCTCTGCTGCCTGTGGGTTGCCCGTTGGTGCAAGACTTGAATTTCCAGCTGAGGATGCAGGAGCATGGTGAGGGAAGAGTACCAGGTGGAGAACTCCTAAAGTGGGTGAGCCCGGTTCAGAGGGCAGGGGCTAGGGTGGGTATGAGGTTGGGAAGATTGAGATGTAAAGCAAAGTTCTTGCAGGGCTATGGAATTGGGATCCTAGGCCTGAGGAAAAGAGGGTGCCGTAGTGAGGGAAGAGGAGTTCCCACAGTCAGTGGAGTCAGGAACTTGATAAGAGGAAGTGGAGACAGATTTTTTTCTTTTTCTGCTTAATGTTGTTAGATTTTTTTTCCATTTTGACATGACAATGAAGGAAGAGGTGGGCTTGGAAGTGCACCTTCCGCTATGCATACAAATGACACAGCAACCTGTTGCCCCTTGCCTAGCACCTGTTCTGAAATCCTGCTGCCTGCGGAGCTCATTACTTGACATTTAGGTTAACAGAAACTTGCTGGACCCTTTCACATCTGATCTGAAATTATATTCTTTGGTATGTTAAGAAAAGAAACTGAGAACAAGAACATAGTTATGCCACTGTATAAATCCATGTTTCTCCCGTATCTTGAATGTTACATACAGTTCTG